CAACTTTCAAGGCCCAGAAAGGTAGTAAAGATATTGATTAAATAGTCATCGTTAAAATAGTCCATGTGACTCCGTAGCAACCACCCAGAACACCCTAGCAACACCATAGCAACCACCCAGAACACCCTAGCAACCACCCAAAATACCTTAGAACACCCAAGCAACACCATAGCAACCACCCAAAATAACTTAAAACACCCTAGCAACACCATAAACCATAGCAACCACCCAGAACACCCTATTAACCACCCAAACTATCTTAGAACACCCTAGCAACACCATAGCAACCACCCAAAATACCTTAAAACACCCTAGCAACACCATAAGAACCACCCAGAACACCCTAGCAACCACCCAAAATATCTTAGAACACCCTAGCAACACCGTAGCAACCACCCAAAATACCTTAAAACACCCTAGCAACACCATAAACCATAGCAACCACCCAGAACACCCTATTAACCACCCAAACTATCTTAGAACACCCTAGCAACACCATAGCAACCACCCAAAATACCTTAAAACACCCTAGCAACACCATAGGAACCACCCAGAACACCCTAGCAACCACCCAGAACACCCTAGCAACCGCCTAGCAACTATTTAAAGAGACAGTGTCCATGTGACTCCCGTTGTTCAACCTTAATGTTACGAAGCGGCGAGAAAGCTTTTTGTGCGCAAAAAAACCCAAACAAAAATAATGGCTTTATTCAACAATTTCTTCTCGTCTGTGTCCGTCTCCTACGCTGTTTACGTTGTAAATACACGGCAGTGCTTTCGAGTTCTACGTCAGAACGCCACCTCACCATGACGTTATTTTTAACCAAGTTGTTTAGGGATGCACCGTTATGAACATTTTGTCCGATACTAATAATTGTTTATATTTGAAAGCTAATAACCAATATATTGGCCAATAAATCTAAATCCAAATTTCTATATAATTTTTGAGAGCCTGATTATAAAATCAAAAGTCTCACTATTAAAATCCATGTCCCAAATACACAATTATAATGATGTTCAAGCCTATAGCCTATGTGATGGCACATGTTGCACTTGACTGTATTTTCCTTTTTTATGATTACAATCATATTTCTAGCAATTTAAAACCATCATGTTGAACAGTGCGCATCTGAAGTGTCTCAGCTGAGGGAAATAATACATTATTTATCGGCTTTAATAAATCGGCCTAATTTTCTTATCGGGCCGATAACGATAAGATTCAAAATTAACATATATCAGCCAATACCGATATGGTGGCCGATATATCGTGCATACCTAAAGTCATTATTTTTGTTTGTTTTTTTGCGCACAAAAAGTATTCTCGAACATTAAGGTTGAACCACTGGAGTCACATGGACTATTTTAACGTTGTCTTTACTACCTTTCTGGGCCTTGAAAGTGCTGTCAGCTCTCATATTTCATCAAAAAACATCTTAAATTGTGTTCTGAAGATGAACAAAGGTCTAACGGGTTTGAAACGACATGAGGGTTAAGTTATTTTTAGTTATAATTCAACAGTCTACACCATTCAGTATCCCTATTTAATTAACAAAGGCAAGTAAATACGCTTCAGAGTTTCTGTCCATGACAACCTCAGAGAAAGTGTCACCATGGTTAAGCTTCTCGGACACCCTGCTAATTAAACAGGAACGTTTTACACTGCTACAGCTTGTACACACACTGCTGCTTCTGACTCACACACACACACACACACGTCATTAGACACAATGTAAACACAGTTGTTTTTTTATCTCGTTGATTCAAACGTTCCTTCTGTTTCGACTTGGATTACGTCCATGGCAGCTGCTACACATGAATGAGGACACACCACAGACCGGTGTTTCTTAAAGTCCCCCTGTGGTGTAAATCCAGCTTTTAATGTTGTTTATATCTCTATGTGGTGTTTTTAATATGCTTTAAGACACAGCATTGCTGAGTATTTCCTACTTAAAGGTGCATTGCGCAACTTTTCATGTTAAAAATACCTGTTTTTCTATCCTATACATGCTTAAAGAACTGCCTGATGGGCTGAATGAGCCCTTCTCTGCGCACTGAGATTGCCTCTATAATCCTGTACAGTAAAATATATAAGAGGGATTCGGGCTTGAATTTGAGACTGGGCGTGACGTCATGCGCGTTCACGCTCACCAGGCTACGTCTCGCAGGTTTGTGTATTCGCCGGCGCCGCCATTCTCCGCATCAGCGAAGACAACTCGTGCGTCAAAGGTAGAAGATGGATTCAAAGAGACCGGCTTGTAGTCCATTCCAAACCCCAACGCAAACTTCACGTAAAGTAAAGAAAGGAAAAATTTTGTCTAGTGCCACCAAAAGGTCCAAATTGGAGTCAGACAGGCGTCGGAGTAAGACGAGAGAAGGCATTCAACAAATGGAGAGATCTCCGGTCTGCTCTTGGTCTCAAACGGGATCCTCAGTTGGCTTTTTTTCTTGATAAAACGGAAAGATATAGCCCAGTCTCTAATGTTTGATACGGCCAATCTATGTATGACAACAAATGACGATGCGTAAAATGTGTAATGCTTTAGCGTAAGCTAGATACATATACAATCAGAATTGGTTTTACTACCATTGTTAGTGAACAGTTTCATAAACTAGGAATTGTGTTCGGAAGAATAGTACAACATGAAACAAAACATATCCAATAAAAGATGCGTGTGGTCCATGAGCGTGCACAACTCTGGTTGCAGTTTCGCTTGTCGCCAGAGGGGGCGTAGTTCTGAAAAAACTCAGAGACTTGTGTTTTGCAACTTTAAAACTAGAGTGAACCAAAGACAGTCTCAAAAACACGGTTTGAAATCGCTGGTGTTTCTGACGTCACAAACGACCTTGTAACCAATCAGATCAACGTGTGATCGTCAACCAGTGGATCTCTGAGCTGAGTGAGTGAGTGGAGGCGGGGCTCATTTGCATATTCATAGAACCGCGCATACTAAATGAGGAGAATGTAGAGTTACATTCAAGATATTTTAAGGCATGAAGAAAAAACGTTTAAATATGTCACGGCGGGTTTTAGCATATCATTAACAGCGAACTAGCCGGAAATCTAAAGCCCAAGAATAGACTAGTCGTCAATTAGAGAACAAAGAAATGAAATAAAACGACTAGTCTATTCTTGGGATATGGTTTAGACGTCTATTAAATTTTAACTGACAGCCCAAATTTTGCCTCGTTTTAGTCTTTTAAATGCAAAATTGCTTACTGGGAAGGGTGTCGAATTACATTCAAGCTATTTTAAGGCATGACGAATTGTTTTTCAAGGAAATTTTTTTAATTTTGGTGATCAAAGAGGAGTAAACGGATAAAATTATTGACTACAGGGGGACTTTAAATAAAAAGTCTCAACAAAAGATATCACCTCACAATATATAAAGAGCAAAAGAATTGAGAATGCAACGTCCTAGTTACGTTGTAAATTATTAAGTCATGAAATTACCAAAAATTTACATAACTGGTCCTTATCTCTGCAGGATTTGCATGCCGGCGTCATGTTCAACTCATTCATCAGGAGCAGTTTGCTTTCCAAACATCTAATTTTAAAAGCGAATCATTTCTGATTACAGTAGCATGTTGTGCAATTAATAAACCACACTTAGTACAATTATGCAGTTAATTTACACATTTAAATAGCATTTTAAAGATGTTTTTTTCGAGTGCATCATTAACTCCTAATGAGTGTTTCACACGTCCAGTAACTCTCATTTAAAGTCATTATGGCTTGATTACCAGTCGACACTAGCGTCTATTGTGTTGCACACCCTGCATACTGAGCATCATGTTTGTCATTCAACAATGATCTTGATCACTGGGAATATTCACGGACAATCAAACCGGCTGACTGAAGACTGCTGGGATTGTTGAAGCACAATCTATCGGCTCATTACCATTTTAATAGCTCTCCACGGATACCAGCCCGCTTGTCTCCTCTTTCCCAGTTTGTCGTTTAAAAACTGCTAATTACCGCTGACCTCGGGCCGTCCGGGTCACGGGAGGGGGTTGGGAGCGGGCCGGGGGTTTTATTCTGATAGTTAGTGAGCAGTGAGGCGAAACAGAGGGAGGAGACGCATCAATCTAACGCTTGTAATCTGGGTTCAGACCCCAAATCTCTGTCCAAAAGAGTTTCTTCACACGGATCACTTTAATCAGTTCGGATCCCTGCTGAACACAACTCAATATCTATCTTTATTAAGATAACGAAAATACCTGGAGACAGTTGCATGAACTTAGCCACTGTGTTAGATTGACCAACTTTTACAATTACTTTTACAATTCAACCGTTTATAACTGACTTTAAAAAGTTAGGAGTAACTTTTAAGACTTTAAGATTAGGCATGAAAAACCAACAAAGCAACTTTGGTAACACTTTATTTTACTGTGTCCTTGTTACATAATCTTACATACTTACCATAGTAATAACAGTAAATTATGCAACTAACCTTAAAACAAACTCTAATCCTAACCCTATAGTAAGTACGTGTAGTTAATTAATATTACTCAGTACTTAAATATAATCAAACTGTAACAATGACTCCTTAAAATAAAGTGTAATAAAGTGTCTTTGTTAAACTGTAATTATACATTTAAGTACTGAGTACTAGCCTACATCATTTATATTACTATAGTAACTACATGTAACATATGTAACAATGACACTGTAAAATAAAGTGTAACCACAACTTTTTATCTACAGGGAAACACTATAAAACACTCAATGTGGAGATGAACTTAAATGTATTATAAATGTAATGAAATTAAGTAAAAAAAAAAATAATAAAAAAAAGGAAATCCAAGTTGTTACCCCAGCAATAAACAATAAAAAAACACTAGAATAAAAATAAAAGGACATAAACTGACATTAAGGGATAGCTTACAGATGAAGAAATTATCTCTGTTTTATTGTGCGTTGTTATTGTGGCCACTCTAGGCCCCGCCCACATTCTCGAGCGGGCGCTCTGATTGGCTGACGCGGGTCCTGGGGCAGTTGTCCCGTCTCCGTCTAGACTCAACCGGGCAGAACCCGCGCGACCGCGCCACGGACACACCGGAGCCCGCACAAGCGACGGACGAGAGCGATACGGATTGTTACTCGTAGACAGGACTGTAAGGACGCTCGTGAGGTTGATTCCGGAACGGGACTAACGGGACACGGTGTCGTTTCCCACTTTAACGGACTCGCTCGCGCTCCCTCCCTCCCCTTTACTTTGCTCTGGCACGAGACTGTGAGAAAGTGAGAAAGTCTTGAACTCCGGTAAACTCGTGCTGGAATTCCGCGCTCCCGTGATTCGCTGGGATTGTCGATATCGTCATGGCTCGGTTCGGGTTCGGGTTCGGGCTCGCGCTGCTGGCGCTCGGTTTGGGGCTCGCGCACGCGTTCGGGGACGAGGAGGAGATGACCTGCGACCCGATCCGCATCTCCATGTGTCAGGATTTGGGATACAATGTGACCAAGATGCCGAACCTGGTGGGAAACGTGTTGCAGTCCGACGCCGAGCTCCAGCTGACCACATTTACACCGTTAATACAGTACGGCTGCTCCAACCAGCTGAAGGTGAGAGCTTACAACACACACACACACACACACACACACACATATTCAGACTGTAACCAGAACCTTCACATACACACATCCCATCACACACACACACACACACATATTCAGACTGTAACCAGAACCTTCACACACACACACACACACACACACACACACACACTGTGACACACACAGACACACATCCCATCCCATCACACACACACACACACACACACACACACACACACACACACACACACACACACACACACATATTCAGAGTGTAACCAGAACCCCCACACACACACACCATCACACACACACTTTAAACTAGTCAATTTTCAAATCTTGACATAATATGAAAGCATCTTTATTATTAAATTATTACAAAATTATCATAAAATATTAAAACCAATCATGAATGATACAATTTTAATCGTATTATTGTTATTAATTATATTATTGTGACAAAGGAAATATTTAAATAATAGTGACTTATACAAGTATAATGAATTAGAATAATAATTATTATACATTTAAAATTATTATTATTAGCTGTATGATTATATAAAATTAATTATTATTATTATTAAGGTGCTAGTATTGTTTATAAACATTAATGTAAAACAAACATGCATATGTAGTTATCAATTGGAATTTTACCCAGAATTTGCACACACACACACACACACACACATCAAGACCGTAGCCAGGAGGATTACACACACACACACACACACACACATCAAGACCAGGATAAACACACAAACACACACACAGACATACATCCATCAAGACCATAGCCAGGATACACACACACACTCACATCAAGACCGTAGCAAGGATTAACACACACACACACAGACATACATGCATCAAGACCGTAGCCAGGATACACACACACACACATCAAGACCAGGATAAACACACACACAGATATACATGCATCAAGACCATAGCCAGGATACACACACATCAAGACCGTAGCAAGGATAAACACACTCTCACACACACACACACACACACACACAGACAGACATACACACAGATACACGCATCAAGACCGTAGCCAGGATACACACACATCAAGACCGAAACAAGGATAAACACACTCTCACACACACACACACACACACACACAGACAGACATACACACAGATACACGCATCAAGACCGTAGCCAGGATACACACACACACATTAAAGGCTCTCAGAAAGTGCGGACCAGCCGAAATGTCCTCACTTTACTCTCTTTGTCCTCACTTCGATGGTCTAAAACTCAAACCGGCACACACACACACACAAACAGGCACATACACGCATCAAGACCATAGCCAGGACACACACACACACACACACACAATAACAGACTGTACTCTACACACACAGTGTGTTTGTCTCATTATACTTGTAACGACTAAATTCCTGGAATTGTCCTCATGAATGCCGTAAAACTCTTTAAGCGGACGTGTGCTGGTGTACATTAGTAAGAGTTGTTCATAAACTGGCAAAATAATCTGTTTACATAATTATTAATATACTAGGAGCTTTCTGTAAGTGTATAAATACATAAAGTATCTTAAGTATGACCTAAGTGTATAAATATACTGTATAAACTAAAGTAGCCTATCTTAATAAGTATGGCCTAACTAAGTTGATTAATTTGAGGGCAGCATGAAGTCTGCAGGATGTCATAAGTGTGTGTGTGTGTGTGTGTGTGTGTGTGTGTGTGAGCACTGAAGACAGAGGCAGTTGTTGTTTTATTGATTCAGCGCAGAGAGAAATCCTCCCACTCGGACTCCCATGTGTGTTTGCTGGAGAATCTCGTGATTAAAGCGGCGTTAGATGCTGGTTATCACAAACATCCTAATGCCAGAGCACTTCAGTCCTCGGATATATCATTCAAAATGCCATATTGATGCATAAACATATGTTTTTTTTTTAGTGCTGGGCAACTATTAATCTCCATTAATCGCATCCAAAATAAAAGTTTGTTTACATAATATGTGTGTGTAATTATTTTGTATATATAAATAGACACACATGCATGTATATATTTAGGAAAAATGTGTTATTTATATATAAAATATTGATATTTATATAAAATATAAATTATTTCTAAATATATATACAGTATACACATGCAAATATTTCTTATATATTTACACATATGTCTGTATTTATATATACAAAATAATTATACACCGTACACACACATATATTATGTAAACACAAAGTTTTATTTTGGATGCGATTAATCGTTGCACAGCACTATTATTTTTTTAATGCACAGTTACTGATTTCTTGAAGTGCATGTAATGTAGTGAAAGATAGAATTTCCCAACTCATGCACACACACACACACCAGGAAAACCTGCAACACAAAATTAATTTCTCACCAGAAACACATATTAGACATGCAAGAGTGTGCGTTTCTCTGCAAATGTGCAATACTAGAAAAAGCACTTTTTTATATATATTTTTACTGTTTTTATGGTGTTTTATTTTTTTCTATGTTTTATGTCCTTCTATTAGTTGTATCTGTTTTATATGCTTTACATAAAGTATGTATTTTATGGGGGTTTTTCACATTTTTTTATTTCTGTAAAGCACTTTGGTTGTTTTTAAAGTGCTTTATAAATAAAGTTCGATTTGATTCCTGATTTCCCAATATTCTAGCTTTTCTGTCTTCCAGTTCTTCTTTAATGCACAATTGCTGATTTCTTGAAGTGCATGTAACGTGACCACAGTGAAAGCTCATAGTATTTCCCAACTCATGCACACACACACACCAGGAAAACCTGTAACACACAAAATTAATTTCTCCCCAGAAACACATGCATCTTAGACATGCATGAGTTTCTCTGAAAATGCGCAATACTAGAAAATGCATGTTTTAATATACATTTTTACTGTTTTTATGGTATGTTTATCTTCCCTGTTTTATGTCTCTCGATTAGTTTTATCAGTATTAGGCGCTATATGCTTTACATAAAGGATTCAAATTCTCTCCCCAGCCTTTCTTCCACAGAGCTGTTGTGTAATAACCAAGATGCTGTAACAAACGTATTGCTCGTGTGCATTAGCAAATGAAACCTTAAAGCGTTTCCAATGCATTCCTGATTTCCCAAGATTCTAACTCTTTTTCGTCTTTTCTTCCCTCCAGTTCTTCTTGTGCTCCGTCTACGTTCCCATGTGCACGGAGAAGGTTCCCATCCCGATCGGCCCGTGCGGGAGCATGTGCTTGTCCGTAAAGCGGAAGTGTCTTCCGGTCCTGCAGGAGTTCGGCTTCGTGTGGCCGGAGCTGCTAAACTGCAGTCTGTTCCCGCCTACGAACGACCAGAACCACATGTGCATGGAGGGACCGGGAGACGAGGATCCGCCGTTCCACGCGGTCCGACCGTTCGCGCCGCAGGAGGAGGAGTGTGTGGCGCTGGGAGCCGGCGTTGAGCAGTACGCGTGGGTGAAGCGTAGCGGGAGCTGTTTGCTACAGTGCGGATACGACGCGGGATTGTACCGACGGCAAGCTAAAGTCTTCACTGATGTTTGGATGGCGGTTTGGGCGGTTCTATGCTTCATTTCCACTACGTTCACCGTGCTCACGTTCTTAGTCGACTCGTCCCGGTTCTCCTACCCGGAGCGACCGATTATTTTCCTTAGCATGTGCTGCAACATTTACAGCGTGGCGTTCATCGTACGGCTAACCGTCGGACGCGAGCGGATCTCGTGCGACATGGAAGAAGCGCCCGTTCCCGTTTTGGTCCAAGAGGGCTTGAAGAACACCGGATGCGCCATCGTTTTCCTCCTCACGTATTTCTTCGGGATGGCGAGCTCGATTTGGTGGGTGATCCTGACGCTAACGTGGTTCCTAGCGGCCGGGTTGAAGTGGGGTCACGAGGCTATCGAAATGCACAGCTCGTACTTCCACATCGCGGCTTGGGCAATTCCCGCCGTTAAAACCATCGTAATCCTCATTATGCGACTCGTGGACGCCGACGACCTCTCCGGGATGTGCTACGTTGGAAACCAGAACCTTGATGCGCTCACCGGATTCGTAGTTGCGCCACTTTTCACGTATCTAGTCATCGGGACTCTGTTTATCGCAGCCGGACTGGTTGCGCTTTTTAAGATCCGCTCAAATTTACAAAAAGACGGGACTAAGACGGACAAGCTGGAGAGGCTGATGGTTAAAATCGGTGTGTTTTCGGTGCTATACACGGTGCCAGCAACTTGCGTAATTGCATGCTACTTCTACGAAATTTCAAATTGGACTGACTTTCGTCAGTCAGCGCGGGATTCGTACATGGCGGCGGAGATGCTGCGGATCTTTATGTCTCTTCTGGTGGGAATCACATCGGGAATGTGGGTCTGGTCCGCTAAAACCCTTCACACGTGGCAGCGATGTTCCCACCGACTCGTTCACACCGGGCGAAACAATCGCGTCAAACGGACCGCCAACGGCTGGGTCAAACCGGGCAAAGGCAACGAGACCGTTGTGTGACCCGCACTCACGGTGCCTCTCGTCATGTAGCACTATCGTTCGTTCACTTTACGCAAAATGTTCTTAAGATGATCTTACACTGGACGGTGCAGTTTTTTTCTCCGTGTAAATATGCACTACGCCTGCCTAACGTCAAACTCTCACTGAAGTGCCTTCGTTCTGTGCGGACGAGCTACTCGACCCGACCTGGTGCTGGATTCTGGGAAACGTAGTTTTTTTTGCTCCTCTGTGCCGTTTACCTCGCTACCTGGTTCATTTCTCCTGTGACTGAACGCTTATGAAACCTGTTGCACGCCAAAAAATTATGTTCTTCCTCAGTACTTTTGTCTTGTTTTCCAGCACAAATATCAAAAAATTCTTAAATCAAGTTACATTTACTTAAAGAGGACGAAAAGGACTTGTTTTCTGAAAAATGGGTTTTTATTTATGCTTAAAACAAGTAGGGATGCACGATATATCGGCCACCATATCGGTATCGGCCGATAAATGTTCATTTTTAATGTTATCGGCCCGATAAGAAAATTAGGCCGATATATTAAAGCCGATAAATAATGTATTATTTCCCTCAGCTGAGACGCTTCAGATCAACATGATGGTTTTAAATTGCTTGAAATATGATTGTAATCTTAAAAAAGGAAAATACAGTTCAGTGCAACGTGAGAACATTATAATTGTGTGTTTGGGACGTTGGTTTTAATGGTGAGACTTTTGTTTTTGTAATCAGGCTCTCAGAAATTATATAAAAATTTGGATTTAGATTTATCGGCCAATATATCGGTTATCGGCTTTCAAATATAACGAATTATCGGTTATCGGCCAAAATTTTCATATCGGTGCATCCCTAAAAACAAGAACAAATATCTGCCAACAATGTAAAAAAAAAGTTGCTGCCTTAAATTTTTTAAGTACATTCAACTTGGATGTTTAAGTCATTTTAACTTAAACTACATCAAACTGACTTTAAAAAAAAACGCGAGTTGAATCTTGTTTAACTTAAAAGTTAAAAATCGCTCAACTTATTTTGATGTTAAAGCAATGTAAAAACATGTTGTTTTAACTTAATTTTTTAACAGAAAAATCAACTTAATTTAAAGAGGAAAAAATTTATTTTTGACCCCATTGGCAGATATTTTTTATTTTTTCAATGTAAAAACATATGTTGTCAATGTCTTAACTTATTGATCAAGTATTTTTTTACAGTGAACAATCTACTTAATTAAATTTAACCATAAACTCACTTAATTTTGATACATTTGTCAGTAAACAAGACATTTTGGTTCTCAAGTAACATAATTTAAGACAAATAACTGAGTTAGAACATCTTTTTTGCAGCATGCTTTCAAGGTGTGTTGAAGCAGAAAGTCAGTGTGCAATGACATGTCAGACAGAAGTAAAGTAAAGGTTGCGTACTAATTTAAACTGTTGAAGCCGCCGCCATTTTCCTGTTTTAAATGACATTTCACATCTTGCACAACGTCACAATGATCAAATACAGTGCGTATTGTATTACAACAAAACGTGAACGCTTTATAAATTATTGCTCTGAGATTTCTACAGTCTGCCTTCAATATTTAGTTCCTGTTGTTTATTTTTGATATGACAAAGCTACGATGGGACTTTTTGTTTGTTTTTTTTGCGCTGTCAGACACACATTCACTCTGAATATGACACAAGACAATCACTGACCGTGCCGTACGGGACTCCCGTAGGGTCGATGAATGTATTGACCGATGATGATAAACTCTATTTTTACACTAAACATTATGAAAGTGCCTCAGAAACTCACATGCAGGTGGTACAGTCCTGGATTTCATGAAGGACTTCTGGATCGATTTGTACATAAACTGTTTGTAGTTGTAATATGAGTTATTTTTGTGTTATGAAATGCTAATTTATCTTTGTAAAAACAACAAAAATGAATTTATTTAAGAATGCTTTTGTATCAAATGAAAAATTAAACTTTGAAAATCAATTTTTTTAGAGTCTGTGTGCATATTTTGTCCCGTTTGGTAGACATTATGTTCAGTCTCTCTCTGTATCTTCAGACGCCTTGTGACCCTAGTAAATCTGTATTATGTGGCCAGGAATTAAAGGATTGTTTTGGGCATTAGGTAGCAAATCTTTCTCCGCAGAATTAGAGGCTTGACTCCTTTTTAGATCATTTTAAAATTCCTCCACCCAGATTTTTGGACAAAAAATGTATCCTCCAGTCCAACTTCCCCCCTCGAAGTCACGGCTCAGGGTTTCATTCAAGACACATTGTCGTATGGTTTTATAGCTCTTTCAGAGGTAGTTAGTCTCAAAACTTAACATTAATATAGGTATATAGGCTATACAACATCAATATCGGGATTTTATACAACCACATGGCCCATAACCCCAAATAGTTGGGTTAATCGTTAGAATAAATGCATGTTATTTCTAATTATTGTGGATTAAAATGTGCTTAAAGTCACATCAGCCGATTTCTAATATGATGCTGCTCCCTACTGGTCATTTGAAGCACTACAGATGAAGCGGTTTCAGGACAACAGACATCAAAACTATTCGATTTCTGTTTAATCCTATTTTTAAAAAATAAATATTATTTTTATTGAGCTATTTTTTATAAAAGCAATAAAGTAACGTTTTAAGACACTTAACAGTTAGTTGTGGAAATGGTTGTCTCAGTGATAGATGTATAACTTCTAGGAAATATGCATCAACAATAGTAAATACTAAAAGTCCACTTGAAGTTGCATTTGCGGGACTGTATCCATCAGAGCAGAGATGCCCAAACTAGCCCGTGATGACCTTTAATTTCGCCCGACACATCCACTTTCAGAAGTAAGTGGAAAAAACAAGGGGAAAAACATGCCATTGAACCAGATCTTCATTTCTAATGTATCTTTCTTGTTTGTTTTTGTTTTGACTTGATGTTTTAACAGTGAATTTCATTAAAGAGGCCACATTATGGCTTTTTCAAAGTCTTGAGTTTGTTTTTGGGCTCTACTAGAACAAGTTTTCATGCTTAAAAATTTCAGTTTAAACATAAAGTTTAAAAATGTAAATATTATCTCCAATATTCTCCATTGTTGCAGCTCCTCTCTTCCCAGTCTGTCAGTAACGCTCTGTTTAGTTCCTGTCTCTATGAAGCCCCGCCTTCTGAAAAGCACACTGTGCTCTGATTGGTCGGCTGGATCAGTGTGTTGTGATTGGTCGAGCACTTCGAGTGTGTTTGGGAAATGTCCCGCTCTTACTGTAACCACCAGTTTAACACACTACTAACTAACTTAAGCAGGCCCCGCCCCTTTATTCTGCGTAATATTGTGACGTGTCCGTTCCCGGAAGAAACTCAAGACTACAATGGAGGCGTTTCAGGAGTTCAGAAACACTGATATAGAGAAGAACTCAGAGCTTTTTCAGGCTCAAATAGCTAAAGAAAGATGAACATGGAAAACAAGCATAATAGGTGCTCTTTTTAAAAAAAAACTTTTTATTTTGATATAATAGGACTAGTTAAAAGAATTAGGTGAAATGCATCAATAACATTTGCCCTGTGGTCTTGATTTTTGGCCCTTGGTAGTAAAAAGCTTGGGCACCTCTGCATAAGACATTCAATACCATATAACAACTAACCAATCAGGGTTATAAAGTCTACTATTAGGATGTAACTGATCTTCGTAGTAACAAATATAAATTATTAAAGTTATTCACTCCTAAATTATGACCAAGCATACTGAAAACCCCTACAACACAGTGTAAATGTAATTGTGGAGTTAGCAAAATAGCTAATTAATACAGTCTTCAAATACAATGTCATGTTAAATTTTTACTTACAGAAAGACGTGGAAATGTTCTGGAACTCAAGAACGGGCAAACTATCGTCAACTCAACTAACTACTGATGAAACTGTGCTGTTAATTAAACCTGAACTCCCCCTATTGATTAAAACTAACAACACACACCTGAAGGTAACTTATTCCTGTTCAATTCGACAGACGGATAACATTTCTAGAGACCGGTCTCATACATTTTGTTTCTAAATGCTCAAATCATGACAGAGAGCTGCTATCTATGTATTTAAAGCTCGACAGGCCAATGCGCATGTGCAGTCCTAAGCGCGCGCAACCGGAGCTGGAAGCTGAAGTGACGCAATCACTTTACCTATCAGCGATTGGCTCTTATATTTAGAAGGCGGGACTTATTCTGCCATTTTGCGCGTTGTACTTTTTTTCATTCATATTATGAGTGTATCGTTTTTAATATCTAAATCTTTGCGTTTAAGTATTACGGCAAACTGTTTTAACATTTAATCCTTAAAATGTACTAGAATCTACTTTCATGCTACTAGTACTTATTTTTTAGTTACTAGTAGTATCTATCCCATTAGGTATACTTATTCATTATCAACTAGTGCTTATTCTTACATTTTTAATACTAATACTTATTCAATATCTACTAGTTCTTAATTATTAGATACTAGTTATTCCAGTAGTGTCTAGTATTTAATTATAATTGTTAAGAAAATTAGTAGCATGAAAATAGATATTAAGTACATTTTAAGGATTAAATGTTAAAACAGAGATGCTAATAATGAATAATGAAAAATAATGAGTCAGGTAAAATAAACAAGTGATTTTTTTTATTTCATCTTTTTTAAGAAACACAGAATAATTTAATTATAAATTACAGAGTAAACAGTAAAAAGGGGTCTTTTCAAGCAGTCGGAAAGCAAAGTGCATATGACATTTCCATAAGAAACAGATTTCATTTTAATAGAACATTTAAATACTCTCACCCTGAGAACAGTTTTACCATAACAAGTATTTTTGAACGCTGCATAAATGTCAGTAAGTGTCAGTGAGGTGGTGCAGAAAAGCATAAAAGTCAGTACCGGACACATGAACAGACATATTACTGTAATGCGACAGTAAACGGCCAGCATAATCGTGTAACAGTTGCAGTATATGATTGCATGAATTATGTTTCGTGAGCTCGTCTCTTGAGAACTGGCTTTAAAAAAAATAAAGCTTCAATGAATCAGCTTCTAAAAGCAAATGAAATGTCCCTTCAGAATGAACAGTGTAAAGACCATTTCAATAACATATTCTTAAATGAACATGAACAACTGTCAACCATACAACTGGCCTCAGACTATTTACTTCAGTTCAGCCTTTAAAGTCTGAACTTTACAATTCCCATTCCTTGGAATAAAGTGGCACAGTTTGAAATACTATGTTTATACAGGACATTATGGAGTATATAGCGCAATTTTTAGCCATTAAACTTTTCTGTAAAAGTTAGATTTGTTTTATAAGCACCGTTCTGAATCACTCTTCTCCGGCTGAACGTCTCTGTGATAAAAGCAAACTCACTGTTGCTTCAGGACGCAGAGGAAATGATGTGCTTTTCCAAATGAATGACTGGGTAAAGGAAGGGGACACTCTCAAAAGCTTGTTCAAATGTGCCAGGACCTGCTGGCAAATTCAGCCACTTTAAAGACACAACGTTCAGCTGGATAATCGGCCCTTTGGTCCGTCTGGGAGTTGAAGCGCTTCCACAATGGCGGAAAATCTTGTCACGTCTCCTTAATGTTTAGTCCTCACGTCTCAGACGCTCTTAAGCTGTGAATGGCAGTCGCTAGTTAGAAATACAGGAATTCCATTGGTTATTCTTGGCGTCAATGGAACATGACATCACTTGTGTCTGAAAGCAACAGTTCACCCAAAAAAAATCAACTGAAAATATATATTTTTTAATTACTTTGAATTCATTTTCAATGCAAAAACAATGGCAAGATTTTCAGTCGATGACTTATCAAATGACTGCAGAAGACACGGAATATCGATATATAATTGTTATTTAGATACTATTATATTTTCCTAATTTAATTTTAGTGAAAGGTTTAGTAATTTTGTTGTGTGATTTTATCATTTTTATGTTTTTATATTAATTATTTTAGTCCAGCAAGTTCTTATGGAAGCTCGTTTCCGCCACTGAAAAAAAAAAGTAAAAAAAAAAAAAATAATTCACAATTCTGACTTTCTCTCGCAATTACGAGTTTAAATTTCGCAATTCTGACTTTTTCTCTCGCAATTACGAGTTTAAATTTCACAATTCTGACTTTTTCTCTCGCAATTACGAGTTTAAATTTCGCAATTCTGACTTTCGCAATTACGAGTTTAAATTTCGCAATTCTGACTTTTTCTCTCGCAATTACGAGTTTAAATTTCACAATTCTGACTTTTTCTCTCGCAATTACGAGTTTAAATTTCACAATTCTGACTTTTTCTCTCGCAATTACGAGTTTAAATTTCACAATTCTGACTTTTTCTCTCGCAATTACGAGTTTAAATTTCGCAATTCTGACCTTTTTCTCTCGCAATTACGAGTTTAAATTTCATAATTCTGACTTTTTTTCTCAATTACGAGTTTAAATTTCACAATTCTGACTTTTTCTCTCGCAATTACATGTTAAAATTTCACAATTATGACTTTTTTCTCGCAATTACGAGTTTACATTCCGTAATTCAGATTTTTTTCTCTCGCAATTTCGAGTTCACATTTCGCAATCTGATTTTTTTTGCAATTACGAGTTTACAATACGCAATTACGAGTCAACATCTCGCAATTTTTATTTTATTAATACACGACTGAGAGTTATAAAGTCAGAATTGTGAGATATAAACTCGTCAGAATTGTGAGATAAAAAGTTGCAATTACATTTTATATTTTTTTATTTAGTGGCGGAAAAAAGCTTCCATAAGTTCTACTAAATTAAAATGAGAAATATTGCCTTTGGCAACTAGCTGAAATAAATTTCAATTTTAATATTTTTCATATTAAATTTTAGTTAACATATATTTATTTAAAGTAACAAAATTCTTGATGTTTTTAGTTTTAGTTAACTATAATAACCCTGGTATGCCTCATTTCTACGGTGCTTTTGTGAGCTCCAGAACATTTTCATTGTAATTGCATTGAAAACAGCGACTCGTAAATTTGCTAGATTTCTAATGGGTGATAAGAGAACATAATAAGAAGATACCTACGCTAATGCGACGTCAGCATTTTCAGGGTCACCTTGATCCTCTGTGGAAGAGAGAAACGATAAACATGTTCAGATGAAGATTTGAAGTCTAATAGCTAATGTTTAGTGTCTCTAAATAATTGAATGTGTGTGTGTGTTCTTGTGTACCTGTTCGACATCTTTGATAGCAGTGCTTCATCACCAAGAGGACAAGAAGTAACAGCGGGACAAACACAAGCACGAACACAATAGCTGCGATCACCTTAACCGAAAACGATTCTGTTTCGCCTGAAAGAAGACAACAAAAGACATTTGTTCTTTTGACTTTTCCCTCTTGAAGAGTTATTTGTGACGCACTTGTTACTGGGGTTTTCAAACTGGGGGCCGCAAGGGGGTCTGAGGGGCCCGTGGAAAAGCTCAGAGAAAAACTGTGTAAAAATAAATAAATAAATTATTTAAAAGATGAAAATAAATAGATAAATTAGTTAAAATAAATAAGAAATAAATGAAAAGTGATTCATATATATATAAATATAATATAACATCTAAAAAAAATTTAAAGATTAAAATAAATAGATACATGGGTTAAAATAAATAAAAAGTGATTAATATGGATAATAACAACTAAATAAACAATAAAAACTAGATAAAAATAAATAAATAAATAAATAATACATACAAGGGAAAGAAGGGATTTTTTTGTTTTTAGTAAACCTTAAAATGTAAATATTTTCCAAATAATCTTTTAAATTGGTATAGTATATAGTATATAGTAATTAGAATAAATTTGATATAAAATATATAGCTCCCTTTTAAATTTCTCTCCCTTGCATAAGGATGATCATATATTATGGGCATCCATGCCATCAAACATTTTGAAAAGCCCTGGAAAAGTTTATCCTGATATTATTTATTCCACATTACTTATGCAATATAACCTAATTAATATTCATGAGCTAAATGTCCCCACTACAATTTAGAAGACAATTTCGAATTCAGTCACACAAAACTTAATATCATTTTTTGGTTACTTTTTTTTTTTTTTTTTTAAGGTGACGTATTTACATTGTACTTACTCAAATAAGTATTATAAAATAATATAAAAAATTTACTTACGATAGAGTTACGGTTAGGGTTTGGTTTAGGGTTAGTTACTGTTATTACTAATACTATAGTAAGTACATGTAGAAACGTGCAAGTGCGTCATCTTAAAATAATGTCCCAGCATGCAATTTAGCATTTAAAAGACGTCTAATAGCCATCCAAACACAGCCCAGACTTCTAGGCTAAAACAAGGCCAAATTTGAGCGGTCAGTGAAAATTTAATAGACGTCTAAACTGACTAGTCATCAATAAGATAACAAATAAATGAAATAAGTGAAGAAATGAAACTGACTTTGACTTTGCTTACATGATGGAATATCAAACCATGTTTGCAAGTTATTTTGGCAAAAACAACATGTAACCAAACTCAAGGTTATTTTGGCTGGAAGTGTGTTACTCACAGCCGGACTATATCAGGGCCCGTATTCATAAAGATTTGAAGAATCCTCTCAGAAAACTCCTAATTTAGCTTAAAAACTTTTACGTATGAGTCTTAGCTTAAGGGCGATCCGGGACCGATCTGAGAGCAACTCTTGAGTAAGGAAAAGACAAAAACGTTCATCTTAGTGAGGAGGCGGGGCTGACCCCGTTGCTATGTGTGACACAATCTTTTGAAGACTGTGATTGGTTGGTTGTCCAAGAAGGAAAGAAAAGAGTGATTATTAACTATAGGGTCTATTCTAAGCCTTCACTTTGAAATTACATGCATTTGACCGTTCTCACACACACACACACACACACATTATATATGTGTATATAATTCCTATAAGGTATTTGATTGGCTTAGAATGATAAAAATTGTTCCACTCTTTCCAGTTACACTGATTGCTGGCGTGTCTATTTAAGTGGTGGTTTGAATGTTGGTTTTAATGTAACAAACATGGAATCAAAACCAAGAAGGACGAGAAAGCCCGACTGGACAGAGGAACGGTGTTTACTGTTAGCCCAGGTAGTGGACGAACACAAGGCCATCCTTAACCCTTAACTGTCACCGTCCCGCTAGCGGGACGCCTAACTTTACTTCACTATATTTCTATTAAATCCTAATCTAATTATGACAAATTATATATTGTTGGAGAGGTCTAAGACTTCTAAATAGATATTCTACCCCTGTTTTGTGTTACAAATTATGTAGGAAGAGTAATTGATGAATTTATGACAAGAGTGCACCTAAAAAAAATCTGAATCATAACAGAGGTCTGACCTTTGTCACAAAAAGTCGATGCACCCACTTTTAATCATTGAAACGTATGTTTTTATGCTAAAAGTTCATAATAAAACATATAATCTAGTATTTTTCAATAAAAAATTGTAATATAATATTATCCTCTAAACATTATAATATATATATATATTATCCTCTAAAATATAATATTATGTTTTTTATCGCCTTTTTTATTATATCACATATTTTAGTAGTTATCATAAATTAGGTATCATTTGAAAGCTTATAAACTCAGAATTCCTCCTGTGAAAACCGTTTTATAATTGAACGTTGCGTTACCATAGAAACGGTACTCTAAATTATTTTATCAGGCTCCTCCCCTTTTGGGCATCATTATATTTCATAATTTATGATCAAAACCTTTTCTAATCTTGACAAAACACATATTGTCAGAAAGGTCTGTGTCTAAAGGTTCCATATTTTGTGACAGAATTGATATTTGGACAGAAATTTATTAATTTGATAAGGCAGAATGTTTACAACTAAATTCAATGGAATTCAATGGCACCCGGTGGCTATTTTTTGGTACTACGCCTAAACAAAATCTCATGGGAACTTCAATTTTTGTGATATCAACTTCAAATTTGGAACATAACTTGGTTAGATTTATGGCTTTGATTTTATAGTAATTTTAGAGTAAAAAATTTTTTGTAAAATATATATTTTATATAAAATAAAAAATATATAGTACAGTATATTTGATTTACTGTAAATTTAAACTTACAAACCTTTTTCATACTTTCATTTTTTGAAGTGTTTTCACTTCAGCAATAATCTGCTGAGTGTTTTCTTTAAAACAAGACCAAACTTGGGTATATATTCCAAAGCATTCTTGAATTACAACCATTTAAGTTTGAATAGTGCATTTTAACCCCCATTCTCAAAAGGGGGGGTGACAGCGAAGGGGTTAAAGGAAAACTCGGGCCGGGTGTCGATCTATAGCGCCTTATTAACTCACTGTCATCCATCGTCTGCAACACATTTCTTCTCCCTCTTCATCTTTCTGCCATTTCTCCTCTGCTAAAGAAACTCTTAAGCCTCTTAAAAGTCTTTGTCCGTACTCCTAACAACTTTGACATTAAGACCTCTTTTAAGGGTTAAGATGCTTTCTGAATGACTTTTTTCTTTAATTTTAAGAGTAAACGCCCACATTTCTACGAATTTTCTTAGAATTTTGTCACTAGGAGATTCTTTATGAATACGGGCCCAGGTCTATAGTTAACCTAGACGGTGAAGTGACGGATATATCGCTTGCTTGGGTGTTACCATGCAATTTGCATCCAGCACACTTACATATGGTGATGGTGGGGGAGACAGCGTCATCTACGGCACAGCTGACATTGGTTGGATGGTCGCAGTTGTACGTGATGGTTTGGTTGACGGTCCATGTTTTGGAGGACAGATCTTCTGAACTCTCGTTGTGAATGACACTTATCAGACTGAGGTTAAGCTCCGCCCACTTCACGGCACTTTGCGGGTAACCTCCGGTCGACGAGCAACTCAGCTGGCAGCTTTTCCCAGCATCACCGCTCTTACGTTCAGTGCACTCCTTCTCGATTGTGGGAACGCTGTATTTGGCTTCAGAAAGGGAGAGAACAGTGGAATAAGTGACATTTTAGAGATCCGGAGAGGTTCCCCCTACAGCGTTTCATTTCCTCAAAACCCACGTCAGTAATAGCCTCCCATGAGCGCTTAGTCAGCAGTGGTGAGTTTCCAACGCAAGCGCGCACAGACAGATGTACATACGCAGATAAACCAGAGATGGTCTTAAAACAGGCGTGCACACTCATATACATTACACACATGAATATATATTCAAATGATCTATACACAATGTAGAAGCTTATCAGGGTTGAGCATCGAGCATTGCTCAAAATTTTAACTGCATATGAATTGAAGTACCGAAAGGAGTGCATAAAAAAGGAAGAAAGTAAAAGAAAATCAAAAGTATAGGTTTTAATAATGCATTTTATATTTTAGTATGAATCCCCCAAATGCAAACATATTCGGAGTATTTACAGAAATCACCTATATTAGCCAGAAGGCTTTAATTTCCAAAAAATTGTTACGTCAATATTATTTTTTATTATATGTTATCAATTATATGGAAACAGTGTGGTGGACATTTATCACCATAAATTTACTTTCTTCATTTTTTGTGCAAAAATAAATAAATAATTACAAACAATAATTAGCATTGATGGCTGTTAATTTAGTTTGGATAAATAGGGTAAACTCCATTAGTTGAGATCAAATATATTTTACATATCCGAGAAAAGATAAGCATAATTTGTCAAAATTAATTATGCAATTATTTATGATTTGTCGTTTTGAAAATCCTGCAGTTAAATTTAGTAAAATCCTCTTTTTGCCATTCGGATTCAAATTCACACTGAAATTGAGCCGATTCTTCAATTGTGAACTTAACCCAACCCTGTGGTCTGTACATCTTGTGCCATACCTGTGACTTTGAGATAGATCTCGGGGATAGGCTTTGAGACAGTAGGATTTTCCACTTTGCCATAAAAAATATAACATTTGTACAATCCTTCGTCAGAAACGGAGACATCTGTCATCTCCATGCTGAGGTCTGTTCGGTTCACTTTGGTTCTGTTCAGGTACTTGGGACTAGAATATAATTGCATTTCAGATTTTTTGTTTGAATCAAAACCGTTGATGAATATCTCTGAACTGCCTCCATTAACAACTCTCTGTATGTACAAGCGTGTAGCAGAAAAGCTGGAGTCCCAGGGGCATTTAAATGTAGCGGTGTGACCCAAAACAGCAGTGATGTTCACCGGTGGACCGCTGACATCTACACAAACACACAACACAAGGACACACAGATCAGATTTCACTCTGCATAAAACCCTGATTATTAAAAATCAAATGTACCTCAGTGTAAATAGCAACATTAATAAACTTAAATAAATAATATACAAAGTGCAATTAGCTTTATATTCAGTTTGATCCCTGCTGTGAATATGCATTATAATTTCTGATACTGTTTGGAAAATTACACAGATACAAGATATATAATTTCCAAGCACAACAGTAACCATTGCTGAATGTCCACTATAGGTAGTTAATATATATGTATTATATATATTATGTATTGTGTGTGTGCATCATTGTAGTTAGTATCCATAATTCAAGGATCTGACTACTTTTAGATTACTTTTGACTTGTTTATCAGTATATTTATCGTTATGAGTTGAATAGGATAATATTGTACCATATTGATTTAAAAACACAAAGAGAAAGAAAATATATTCCATTCTTGATCATCAACAACATGAAGTGCATTAAAGTTTACATTATGTCAGGATTTCCCAGACTGGGGTTTGAAAGGCTATTCAATAAATCATAATAATGTTCAATTAAAAATAAACATTTTTAAAATAAAAGCACATGATAAAATATTTTGGTCATGTGACCATTAACCTGACGTCAGAACAGTTAACATCACAACTTAATATTATTATTTTTATTATTATGGACTTAATTCTATTGTTGACCTAACTTATTAACTTGAAATCTCAGGAGGCAAAGTTAATATATTAGGGCAAATCGGTGCAGATGACAAAAAAAAGTTGGGGAATCCCCTCATTGCATGTGAATTTCTGCATTTGAATGTGTTTGAAAGACAAAAGCCTTCCAGAGACAGAAATACATGGTTAAATGACTCACTGAGTGATAATAATGAATGCGCGTTCATTAGGAGCTGATTAGATATGCAGTGGTGCATAAAACCACATTTCTTAAAAGTGAAATGATTTGTGTAAATCCAGTGATCAAATGTTTTCAGTGATCGTCACATCACTTATGCACGTATATAAGAAGTAATAGGGATACTCGATGAATTATGAATCGTTTACTGGTATAGTGAGAATAACATGTAATCATGTTATCAATAAAAAATGTATTAGTATTTTAAAACCTAATATAATCTAATTATAAGTACTTTATTTTTTAAATCTGATTACGTAATCCAGATTGCATGTAATCAGTTACTACCCAGCACTGTGTGTGTGTGTGTGTGTGTGTGTGTACATTTTTCTAGTGGTGGGTAATATAACAGAAGTCTCTGGTAGGTCCCGATGTAGATGTGTAGATGTGTGTGTGTGTATAGCTGTGTGTTTGTTTCAATCAGGGTGATTCTATATGACTTATTTCAGTGGTTTAGAAGTCCTTTTCTTACTGTCGGAGTTTTGCTTCCTTGTTCTTTGAATGTTTTCTTGTGGAGGTGCATTCCCCGCCTCCTCCAGCTTCTAGTAATTAATCCAAACATATCCATCGCCCCGTAACGTTTCTCTTTCGATCTCTATACATTTAGCAAATTACAGTGATAAATAGCCCTTTTCTAATCACTATAGTAGCTCGATTGGTTGTTTGTTCAGCTTTTCAGCCAAATTATACCATTGAAAACTAAGAGGTAAAAATGTAAAATGTGCATGAAATCCTGCAAAAATGAGTTGTTCTTACCAGTTGTAGCTGTTACCAGCACCAAGATCATGACCAGGGCCAAGCTGTCAAAAACACACAAGCAAGAACAACAATAAGAGAAGACGCAAACATACACACTTACCCACAATCATGTGCATTAGCATATTCCTCTAAAATTCCCATGACTCATAATGTTTTAACAAACATAACTGTAAAACCAGGCCTGCTTGATGGTTTGCATGTGTGCATGTGTTCAGGTTTATTGTAACTAAGCAAACACTACAACATTTAACTTCCTCATAAGTAAGCCTACATTTTAATATAATACTACAAGTACTATTAAAGAGGATCTCGTTAGCATGCATCATGTGGATTAAGTGTTTTGTGCACTTTGCAGACGAACATTATTGACGTGTAAATCAACGTCAACACGGCTAAATGTTGAACTGAAACAGAAGATCTGTATTCCTGGTATTGGTTTAGCGGACACATAGCCTATTATCGTCTAGACTGATATGTTCACGGCCATTAAAAGCAACTGTGTGCATTAAAAAAGCAAAGATCAGGAACGAAATCCCGCTAATCAACACAAGAGGACTGTCTAAGAAAAACAGAACGGTGCAATAAAAGCAGGAAAATGTCTGATGCAAAATTGTTCCTGATCTAAATATATACCAATGCAAACACACACATCAGCAGTACTTCCTTCTTAGTTAAAGAAACGACTAACACACACATACAGAGAGCTATATTAGTGAAGACTTCTCATACACGTCCACTTTTCTATTATATTAATGATATTTATCTCTTGAACCCATGAACCAACCCTCACAGAAATCTTTAGATGTAAAGACTAACATCTAAAAATCTCTTTAATCAGTCGTTTTCACAAGTTTAGCAACACACACACATACACACTCACACACTCACTCACACACTCACACTCACTCACTCGCTCACACACACACTCACTCACACACTCACACTCACTCACTCGCTCACACACACACTCACTCACACACTCACACTCACTCACTCGCTCACACACACACTCAATCACACACAGAGAGAGAGAGCCGTACCTGCATCTGTGGGTGTATAAGCCGAGGCGTTTTAAACTCATGCTGATGGACGCGAGTGACGGGCAGAAACACTTACAGAGAGCAGACTGGCTTCTTCATGTCCTCCTAATCCGATTCTCGAAACAGGAAGAACACGCCTATACAGAGAAAGGGACAAAGAGTTGATGTCATCCCCAGTGTTCATACCGATACTGTCAGAGGGAATTCCCACAAGACACACCCTCCAGAAACACATCAGACAGCAAAACAACGCCAGACCCGTGATAAACAGAGGACAGCCCAGTGGGAGAAAGGAAACTGATTGTGCTGTTGTGTTTTACACACAGTTTAGACTAAACTAGATGTGTTGAAAATAAATTATTTATGTTGTGTTATTGCAGAGGGCATTGCACTAAACTAAACTACACTAAACTAGCCTAATTGGGCATTCAACTGGACTAAACTACACTAAACTAGCCTAATTGGGCATTAAACTAAACTAAACTACACTAAACTAGCCTAATTGAGCATTAAACTAAACTAAACTACACTAAACTAGCCTAATTGGGCATTAAACTGGACTAAACTACACTAAACTAGGCTAACTGGGCATTAAACTAAACTAAACTACACTAAACTAGCCTAATTGGGCATTAAACTGGACTAAACTACACTTAACAAGCCTAATTGGGCATTAAACTGGACTAAACTACACTAAACTAGCCTAATTGGGCATTAAACTTGACTAAACTACACTTAACTAGCCTAATTGGGCATTAAACTGGACTAAACTACACTTAACTAGCCTAATTGGGCATTAAACTAAACTAAACTACACTAAACTAGCCTAATTGGGCATTAAACTGGACTAAACTACACTTAACAAGCCTAATTGGGCATTAAACTGGACTAAACTACACTAAACTAGCCTAATTGGGCATTAAACTGGACTAAACTACACTAAACTAGCCTAATTGGGCATTAAACTGGACTAAACTACACTTAACTAGCCTAATTGGGCATTAAACTAAACTAAACTACACTACACTAAACTAGCCTAATTGGGCATTAAACTAAACTAAACTTCACTAAACTAGCCTAATTGGGCATTAAACTGGACTAAACTACACTTAACTAGCCTAATTGGGCATTAAACTAAACTAAACTACACTAAACTAGCCTAATTGGGCATTAAACTGGACTAAACTAGCCTAATTGGGCATTAAACTGGACTAAACTACACTAAACTAGCCTAATTGGGCATTAAACTGGACTAAACTACACTAAACTAGCCTAATTGGGCATTAAACTGGACTAACTAAACATTTTACGAAACTGAACTGTTCGTGCCATGTGTGTTTTAACTAGTTGCCTAAACTAAACTAATTGTGCAGCTTTACCGCAGACAGGATTAAACTAAAATAAACGTATTTAAACTACATTTTACTAAACTAAACTAGGGGTAAATTCAGGTTGATTGGGACACTTTTCTTTTCATCTCAAAGTCATCTAAATGGCAAAAAGTGTCCCAATCACCCTGAATTCACCCTAATTGTGTTGCTTAACCACAAGAGGGCATTAAACTAAAATAGACGTATCTAAACTAAACTACATTTTACTAAACTAAACTAAACTAAACTAAACTAAACTAAACTGTGGTTGTGCCATTTTATTTCAGACGATAACTAAAGTAAACAAGTTTAAGCTAAATGTGCTTGCTTTACTGCCACAAAAACTCAACTAAACCATTTTAACCATTTTATTGCAAAAGGTATTCAACAAAAATTAACTAAACTAGTTGTGTTACTTTAACGCAGTAGTTTAAACTACACTTATTGTGCAATTTTACTGTTTTATCACATTACAATGAAATCAAAGAGCTTTTAAAATGATTCCCATTAAACTGAAAGTGTTTAAAAGCTTCTGTGTGCCGATCACAGACAACAACACAAACAAAAAGGAAGATATCAAGAGAAAACACCAGCATATGTGTGAATGATGAAACCCAACACGCTTCACAACGCACAGACAGTTTAACACATATCCAGAAACCCCAGAGAAACATGACCCAGCCGTACACATGCCACCGGTCAACGAGTGTGTGTGTGTGTGAAGAGGAAAAGAGTGAGAGTAGTGAAATGATGAGACGAGAGAGCACTTACTAAAGTTTAGCTGTTTGTCCTCAGAGCGATCAGATCAAATGAAACACTAAACGATAAAACAGTTCCTTTATGACCGGGTGAGAGAGAAAGAGGAAGTGTGAAACCTCAGATCGTGTTTCTGCCTTAATATAAGGTTTCACAATTAAAACCAAACAAGTGTCTGAGAACGTGGGATCACGTGAAATAAGCTGCATAGGCTAACATAAACTATTGCTAAAGTTAGTTAAGCTAACTACTACATCAAATCATTCAAATCTTCACTAAAGCAAACAAGTACAATCATGCATGTCTTGTGTTTAACGTTTGAATGCGTATATGAATCTATATTTTTGCTAACACTTTACAATAAGGTCCCATTAGTTAAAGTCAAGTCACCTTTATTTATAAAGCGCTTTGTTTCAAAGCAGCTTTACAGAGATAACAGGAAAATAACGCAGCAAAGTTTGTTTCTAGAAGAAAATAGCGTCACAGTCCGATCAGATGGATCATTTTTGTTGTAAAAAATAATATTTAGTTAGTATTTTAGTTAATTTATATATATATATCGCCGCTCTGGAGAAGCTCATTCTCATATAATGATGTCAATACAGGCAGATCAATAATATTGTTGAATATTAAAGCGCATTAACTAACCATGAGCAATGCATTCGTTGCAGTATTTATTCATCTTTGTAAATGAATCAACTGTTCATTGCTAGTTCGTGTTTGGTCGGGTCCATTAAACACAGCAACATTAACAGAAACAACTTTATATTTTAGTATTAGCACATTTTAAAATGGACAAATGCGTTTGAAATACAGTAGTCAACATTTGAAGTGGATCAGAACCAGGACAAAGACTGTATTTTTCATTGTTAGTTTGTATTTTTCAAACTGTTTATGTTTACCTTATTGAAAAGTGTTACACATACTTTGTCAACTCTTAAAACATGATGAAACATAATATGAAACACTTAATAAAACCAGATTTTTGCTATATTTGCAGAGATCAAGCCTGGGACGTACCTAAAGGTCCCCCAGAAGAAAACAGTTATTTTATATTATAATTCAGTAAACTAAATAACAGTTAAGTCACTGGGAAATTTCCACATGAATAAACAAATGTTTGTGTGTGAATTCAGGTGAAATGAATTACAGATGTGACGTCACATGACATACCTGAGCGACGATGATCGTATATGTTTACTCACCTGGACCGAACGACTTCTACAATTATGAAAAACAAAAGCATTGGCGCACTTCTCCTTATCGTCTCATAACTTCACAAGAACTGCCTCCCACACAATACTGGCAGCGGCTCTGACATCTATGCATTTATCAGATGCTTTTAATCCAAAGTCACTTACATTGCATAGTAGTTTATCAGTTCAAGCATTCCCTGGGAATCGAACCCTGACCTCGGCGTTGCGAGCGTCATGCTTTACTGCTTGAGCTGCAGAAAAAAATGGACAGTTCACCCAAAAATGTGGAGCAATCTCAGATAATTTGCTTTTCTGAGGATTTAAAGAAGAATTTTTGAGTTCAATATTGAGAGACTTTGGTAAATTTGAGAATGTTGGGTTTTTCACACTAAACTAGTTAACCCTGGGTCATTCTAAGGTAAACAAAATCCTGGGTTATCTTGCTTAATGTTTCACTCTGCTCTTAATTTACTCTGGGTAACAATTAATCATTCACACTGTGCATTGTTAAACCCTGGGTTAACTTCCTTATTTGCATATTTACAGAGTCAGCGACACTGATTGGACGAACGCAGCACGTGACCTGTTTACATAAAGGCTCTAGCATTGGGCATCCTCACATTTCCGGGTTTCTCAGAAGCGTATGTCTTCATACTTGGGTAAACTTCTAAAGTGGTGAATGATAGAATATATTAAAGTCCCCCTGTAGTCAATAATTGTATCCCGTAAAACTCATCAAAATGACATTTAAACGTTTTTTTTTTCTCTCTCCTTAAAATAGCTTGAATGTAACTCGACACCCTTGCCTCATTTAGTATACGCGGTTCTATGAATATGCAAATGAGCCCCGCCTCCACTCACTCACTCAGCTCAGAGATCCACTGGTTGACAATCACACGTTGATCTGATTGGTTACAAGGTAGTTTGTGACGTCAGAAACACCAGCGATTTCAGCGATTGTTTTTGAGACTGCTTTGGTTCACTGCAGTTTTAAGGAGAAAATACTCAGCAATGCTGTGATAGACATATGGTGACAAATAGGAAAATAATAACACCACAAAAGTATTTTCACAATTCTCAAAAAGAGTAAAAAAAAAAGAGAGAGAGAGAGAGATTGATATTATAACTGCAGTCAGAAGAGAGAAAGACTCAACTTTACCTTCACTCCCGCAGCCGCTGAATTAGAAACACTATCACAGCAAGGTTAATTCGTTTTTGTTTTGTTTTTAATGCAAAGGAAATATACTAAGTAGGGCTATGTAGTATTTTATGTACATACGTTTAAATATATATATACAAAACTTTGCAGGATTCACGATGTTGACGACCGTTAAAACGCGTCATCATAGTCTGTGAAAAAGGGTCCATAAAGGTAAGATTAAGAATGAATAATCTTTTCTTTACTCCGTCGACGTTTTAAGTCTCGTTCATAATGATAAACATGAAAATTTAGTTTTAAAAATCGTTCTGAATGTGAAAGAATAGTCCACTCCACACAACCGATCACTTTCACATTCACACACAAAAAAAATCCAGTTAATGAACGATAAAAACATTGACGGCCAATCAGAATCGATCCTGCTTTAAGGAGCTCGAGCATTTAAAGCTGTAGACGATATTTAAATGCAACGCGCTTATAACGAGCAATTGGTGTGGACGCTAATATAGTTATTGTTATACACTAGTTATCTTTATAGTTATCGTTCTTGGGCCTTTACTCTGCACATGTTTGAAGTTTAACAGGGCAAAATCGGCACTAATCCTGCTCCGTTGTCCAGACATTTCATCCTAATGTACTGCGCATGCGCA